TTAGATCTAGACATTCCCTAAATATGGTTTTGCAGTATTTAAGATGTCAGCGATATGGGTAGAAAATTTTAAAACTTAAACAGAGCAACCTTCGATGTATTTTAAGCGAATTGCTTTTGCATTTTGACTGACACTTAGTGACTATTTTGTACTAGCTATTTAATGCACAATTAATATTTCGATTATTTCTGTTTTGTTCTATCAGTTTTATTCATATACATATACATGTATATTTCATATTCATATCTTTTATTTATATTTCTTTAATTCAAAGTTTATATTTTGAAACGACCGAGTTTTGTATTACTCGAAGCTTTCCTTTACAGTCCTCGACTTTCGGATTAACCAAGTTTTACTGTAGTATTTTCTAAGTTCTCTACCAAGTGTTACACGTCGATACTGGGTGAGAGATATAACCGTGTTCTGCTGTCAAAGAACAACTTGCAGATGAGCGAACAACATATAGGAATATTTGGTAATGCGTTGTTCTCGGAAGAAATAGAGAACTTCTCTCAAGAGGTAATTCCATTACTGGAACATTGCTGATCGAGAAAAACAAAAAGATATGCTCTAATATTTCTTTTCATTTGGGCACCCGAGATGCAAACGCTGGCATCAGAATCATTTACATAAAACGTGAAAGTAGAACAGCGATATAGACTGTTTTCATGCACCTGGTTACTGTGGTAATTAGGATTTTAAAATATAAGCATGATTTTACCGGGTATTACATCATGCTTGAAGATATCTGGGCGATCTGAAGATATCAGGTGATTACAGCGAATCATGATTCAATAGTATTTGAGTACCTGCAGTGCTAGACGCAGTGGTGATGCGAGGCTGAATTCGTACAGTAGATGCGTAAATACCTTGAAGTCATGAAATCCGGTTTTGGAGGAACTATCATCATTCATATTTTTCTATCTGCTGGTACTTGAAGACCTCTCTAAGATTTTTTCATAAATTTCTTTCTGCAACTTTTATCTATCTTCATTCATTTAATGAACTTCTTTAGCACAAACTGCCATCTATCTGGACGTCTTCCTACCAGCCGTTTACCCTCTTCTGGAATCAAGTGTAATGCACGTCGTCCAGCGATGATCAGTTCTTCTTATAACCCGTCACATTCACTACCATTTTCTACTCAGGCAAAGGCATCGCAAAATTTTCTTTATAATCTAACCTATTCAGTCGTCGTTCTGTCTTTTTTTGTTTTTCCCAACATACGCTTTCAATGCTGCGTTGCATAATCTGACGTTTACGAATAGCTTTGAGATTTACGAGCAACGTTTTACCTTCTTTGGAAGTGTTATATTTTTACTGAAATATGCTTTATGAACCCAGGGTTTTGATATCACAATATGCTTTAATACAGCTGGCGCCTAACGTCTTCTTGCTATCTGCTGCTTGGTTTTCTAAGGAGCGATTTAACTATGCTATGGCTCTATGAGATTTGCGCACTTGCAATGCCATGTGGCATATTATCCAATGAAAAAAAATTTATGAACCAGAAACCTTATACATTAGTGCATATGTATCCAAAATTGTTATGATCTTTATGGGGAACCTTTTATTATACCATATATCTTGACTGCTGGATTATTATCCAGTCAAAGGAACGTCTTTAACGTCAACCGATTTTCACTTTATCTTTTACGAAACCGAATTAACTAAATTAGTTTCGACCTCTGTTTAAAGAGTAAACGACATAATACCATATTTCATATTTCTAGAGATCTGTACCTATAAGCCACTCAGAATTTTCAATTACCAGGCTCAGCACAGGTATGGAAAATCCAATTTCCTTTCAAAGTTGTGAAAACCGAGCAAATGGCCAATAGAAGGGAATGCTTGGCAGGGCAAAATAGCATAGAATGTCTTCTCCCCTGATGCGATGGGTGCAGAAAAGACATCGGAACTCTGAAACAAACGGTTCACGAAGCTCCGATCAAGCTGTTTCAAATCAGTCACCCACTCAGCGGATTTTTCTCTGATAACAGAAACGTAACAGATCCGGAAATCTCACTCGCACTGAGGATGGATCTCAACAAATTTCAGAATAGAAAAAATAATACAATTCAGTGCTAAATGTCGGTTACAGTTTGCGACGTGGAAGGTGCAAACATTGAATTGACGCAGACAGACTACAGCGATTGCTGAAGAACTGGATCGTAGGAAAATACAGGTAGCTAAAATACAAGACGTGCTTTGAATATGTGCTGTGACCGCTGTAAAAGGCAGTTTCTATTGCTCAAGGCGCGCTCACAGAGGTGGTGTTGCACTGGAAGTCAGTAGAAGTCGTTGTAGACCGAAGTGTGGTATCTGACCGAATCATTACGGCAAGGTTCGTCCAGGAAAAGGGACTTGGCTTAGCGGTAGTTAGCTGTTGTAGCTCTAGAGAAGGTGCAGCTGTGGCAGTAAAAGGAAGGATTGTATGCCAAGCTGAGTGTGCTGCAACAACAGTGATGATATTTTCACTGTTCTGGGTGATTTCAATACAAAAGTGGGAACAGAGAATCAACTGTTTAGATGCCTTGCATTACACGGTATTGGTGAGATG